AAGTAACAAAGCATTGGCTCGGCTTATGACACGGTAGCCAGCATTAGAACATCCTGCCATTTGTACAAATATTAGCTTTTTTAAAATGTTTAAAATTTTTGTTTAGTTCAGGTGAATTAGACAGGTCAGTGGTCGTTTCCCAATCGTGCAACCGATCATGTTCCGATTTTTACAAGTGTCTGTGACGTCACTGAGCACAAAAACATTTGTTGATCGTCATGGAACAATTTTAATATTGGGTAAAGATGTAATCTTTCTTCCTCAAAAACAAAGGAAAATACTTGTAAAGTGAGTACAGTCTGTGTGTAATATTCTATTTTATACCTTCTTGTAGTAATCGGGAATACAATTTTCTCAATTCTCCATGGGTTTGGGTCGAAAGTATTTGTATATGTTTCGTGTGTTGAAACGCGAGACTGATGCCTGTCTTTTCCTGATGGCGTTGGGTATTTTTGAGCTAAAATTTCAGCAAATATATTAAACTGATGTTGGTGGTTAGATGCTGTTTTGCCGTATTTAATAAGAAACCTTAAATCTTTACGTAAATTTAAGCTATATAAATCGCGAAATATCGTTATTTGCTGCTGTGTTGCAGCTGTTTCTGGGTATTGATTTCGAAAGTGCCTATTTATTGGCGCTCTGTATTTGTTGTGAGATATTTGCGCCGTATGCGATTATGTGTATTTCATACTTTAATCCCTGTAGCATACTGCTTTGTTAATAAAAATGTGTTGCAGCATATTTTAATACATTGTTACAGATCTTCCAGGGCGGCAGGTTGAATATCTCGATTTATTGTATAAATACGTTCGAAAATTCCACTTTTTGAAAAGTTATCTGCTAGTCCTCTGCTATTAGCTCTGTCTCCTATCGAACGAGTTGGGCAAAAATCTTGATATTTACCTGAATAACGTGGTGGATCACATGTCATGATCTGATGATCAAGACCCATGATCAAGACATAATTCCATGGTGACTCATGTGACATTCTGAACAAAACTAGTAGAGTAATTTTGATCACATTTTTGCATGCAGGCACAAATATTAATGGTAAGCTACTGATTCACAGTAAAAATTAAACATTTGATCATAACATGATGATATTGCTGGCTGTAAATTGGTGTTTGACTCGTGTTACGACAAAGTGACATCAGGTAACACCAACCTAACTACTTTTGAATTCATTCAGGAACCGTAGAAAGGAGAAACATACAAATATGTCTATCTAGTAACAGACTATATGTTAGGTAAACTACCAACACAGAGAAATTTTATATTTTGGATTACAATTATAGTATTAAAGTATTGCTACATAACACATGTGACTCATGTTACGTGACTGATGTTACATATAAGGTACATCTTAACCTGACTGCCAGGGTGCATTCCATGTAGCCAAACCCGAAGATCTTCGGCGTGGAGTTGCGATGCCCTACGGCGCAGCGGCGTGCAAATGCTAATGTTGGCGTGCCGGCGTAGTCTTTTTTTTCCCTCAACGGCGTACAAACTTAATATAATACAATCAGAAAATATCGTCGTTAAGTCTCTATTGTTTATCGGATAACTTAACAGTTTCATGATCTTTTTTGCCAACCAAATCAAGTATAATATGTTACATGCAGTGGTTTCATATTTGATAAAACACTTCCTACTTAGTATTTCTTATATAAAGAATACTAATTGGTTTTTGAAGCCGTTCAATACACTCGCGACTCGTGTTTTATTGTGTCTAAAACCACTCGCGCTCAGGGCCGTGCCCCCCCCCCCCCAATAATTGCTCATGTGGGCAATTTCAGGTAAATCCAGGTAGATTTGCAGAAGAAATCAGTCAGGTAAATGAACACAAATTCAGGTAATTTCTAGGCCCAGAGAAAGTTAATTAACAAAAATAAGTGTGAATTTGGAGAAGAATGAGCTAAATTGACAAAAATTTTAGAGAATTATACCAAATTTTCGGATTTAAGAAAAAAAAGTTGGATAAATGCAGAAAATTTGGTAATGCGGAGAAAAAATTTTTTATGCAACGAAAAGTTTTGGGATGTCCGGAAAAAATTTTTGACCCCTAAAATGGTACACTGAACGAAATTTTTTTGGCGAGGGGAGGAGGTCGCCGAAAAATTTTGCCAAAATATAGATTAATTGAATCTGGCAGTCTGGCGGCGTGTGCGAATTTTCCAGCGGCGGAACTTCGGCATGCACTCTACATGGAATGCACCCTGGCCTGACTGTAAAGTTTGGAAATTGCGCACAGAGATTTCGATAATTTAATAGTAAATATATAGAAAGCATTACAATTGTGCGGCCGATATCTCCGATGCGCAATACAAACTTTCCACACTGGCATCTTAATATTTCAGTTCAGAATCAACCCTTGAAATTCAACTATTTTTGCCTTGGCAAATAATTGCCGAAGTCTTTCGATAATTTTCGAGTTTGCCTCGGCAATGCCTCAGCAATTTTTTTTGCCGAGGCACGCAATGAAATCACCTCAAATTTCTTCGGCAATTAAAGAAAAGTACATAGGGAAATTATCGTAAACAAATATTATAACGAGCGTAGATTCTGACATTTTTAAAAAGTTAGTAGTAATAAAAAACAAATAGTATGAAAGAATAAACTTGACGGTAATCACGTGGCAGTCTAAAAGATATCATAAAACAAAGTTTGTCGACGTGCCGTCTTTAAACCATCAAGATTGTTCTTTATTTCAGCCAAAGCTGACGCTGGAAAGCTCAAATATATTTTGTAAAGTAGCTATGAATGAAATCTTCTGTTGTTCACCCAACGTCGATGATAACAATTTGAACAAAGAAGTGATACAAACGATGACAACAATTTGAAAAAAGATGTGATACAAAAAAAACGAACACTGTACTGTAGTTTGTAAATTTAAGCAAAAAACGAACAGACGCTGTAGTTTGTAATTTATATAAGGTACACGGGTAGAATTGCCTCGTCATTTTTTTGCCGAGGCAAACTATGAAAAATCATAACTTGCCTCGGCATTTGCGTCGGCAATTGCCGAGTGCCGAGGCGAATTTCGAGGGTTGAGAATTGTTTCTAATAGCTTCTGAAACATGAAAACTAAAACCTGGGACAAGTAACAGCCCAAGTGTATCATCTTACATTACATTTGAATCAACAACAAATTATATGAAATATAATATAAAGCTGTACTCTACGAAAATAAAATATATACATAACCTAACCGCGATAATATGCTTAAAAATAACTGATATAACTAAACTGATGTGATGCATGTACCTTATATAATAGGTAAATATAATAATTATTTACAAAAGACGTACTAATACTTCTGTTAAGTTGTGTAACTATAAGGCACCATACATGCCATATGATCTCAAATTTAAACAAAAAATGTCATCACTACCACGGAATTACCCATAATCTGTCTGACAGATCATATTAATGCATAGGCAGCCCAAAAATGTGTGACTGTTGAAATGTTTACCCTTGTGCATGGCACTCAGGCATGCATCAAGTCTACTCAGCTTATTATTATGACAAGATGCTTGTGTGATGTTACTCTGAGTGTATATCCACACCGGGCAGGCTTGAAAAATATGCCTGGCCACGGTGGGAATCGAACCTACGACCTTTGGTAGGGGTGCACCGGATTTGGAATTTTCAAATCCGGCCGGAACCGGATTTACCGGATTTGGACAAAAATTCCGGCCGGAATTCCGGCCGGATTTGCCGGATTTAAAATAAACCGGTAATGGGGACAGTTGTGGATAAATCAGTATTCAAAATGGCGGTTTATGTTTTTTACTATTTTTAGTTTTTTACTATTTTTACTATTTTGATTGTGTTTAAACCTTTTTTAAATATTTTGTTGTTAATAACTTAATATTTTATAATAATATAAGTGTTTCTTAAACTTTAAAGCTGCCAAATTGATGGTTTATCCCATTTTTTAAGGTGAAAACAGAAATTTAAATCCGGCCGGATTTTCTGCAAATCCGGCCGGATACCGGATGCCGGAAAATTCGTTAAATCCGGCCGGAATTCCGGCCGGATTTGAAATCCGGTGCACCCCTAATAATTTTGTTAGCACAGACGTTAATCAAAGTATGAATGGTATTACAAATGCTTTAAAAGAGGTCACTAATAAACATGCCCCAATTAGGAAAACTTCTAATGCCCAACAAAGGTTATTAAAGAAGCCTTGGCTATCAAAGGGTTTATTATTATCAATAAAAAGACGACAAAAAATGTTCAAATCTCACTTTCTCAGTAGAGATCCAGAGAAAGTAAACCAATACAAAAGATATAACAATAAACTCAATAAATTAAAAGAACTAGCAAAGAAAAACTACTTTATTGCTCAATTTAACCTTTATAAACAAAATATTAAAGCCACTTGGGGCTTAATTGGTATGTTAATTAATATGAAAAAGAAACCAACAATCTTTACAAATAAACTTTTCTATAAAAATAGATGCTATACTGCTAAACAAGATATATGTGATAAACTTAATTCGCACTTCATAAATGTCGGTCCAGATTTTGCTGCTCAAATACCTGATTGCAATGAAAAAATCCGGTTCAGTTTATTTGAAGGTCATTTAAGGACAGTTTTATGTTCCGTGCAATATGTGTTCACGAAGTGCGGCACATGTTGTATGGACTAAAAACCAACAAATCATCAATTGATATCCCACAAAAATGTATTAAACTTGCTGCTGATCACATTAGTGATGTACTTACAGCGGTGTTCAACAACT